GAAAATCTACAAGAAAATGGACAAAAACTTAACCAGTTATCAGTTGTTCCGAAGCAGAAAGCAGCAAATCGACAAAAATAGAACCAATTTTCAGTCGTTAAGAAGCAGAAAGTTTTTTACTGATTGGATTTTGCAGTATTTGCTTAAGAGCTGTAATGTGGCTTGTGTGAAAAACGTTAAACTGGCTTAGCATGTGTGAAATTGTGTCAACAAATTGGAAATGTTACGACATATAACAATGAAACATACGCAGGAATCATAAACACTTCAAGATAAGCATACTCACCCCAACCAAAGTATAGTCACCAACTACATCTATGGCTGATAGAATGCCTCTGCATCAATAAGAAGACATTACTAAGCATAAGGCTAAAAAATGAGAATAACACAAGCTATATACATAGGAAATTAGGAACAAGCAACAAAGTCATGTTAAATGGGGTGTGTGTGTGTGGATAGTAAGTCAACATACGTCAATAATTTTCCTTTGAAAACTATAGGAGGAGCAACTGCAGCTAAGATACAGAATCCAAGGTGAAGCTGTAAGCAGAAAAAGAAATTAGGCTAATTTAATTTTGTCCAAATGCAAAACAAAACTAACATGCATAAAGCAAAATAGTCAATACCAGGTAAAACATGAAAAACCATCCAAACTTAATAGCGCTGTCAGTCCTGCAAAAGTAACAAAGCAAAGAATCCATGATCAGGAGAGTAATCAAATCAGAAAGATCAATATATGGCTGGATACACAATCTTGCTACATCAGTGGGATCAGGGCCAGAGGAGGGGAACACCCAAGAAGGTAAGAAACAGACGCGAAAAAGAGAGAAAAAAACTTAGTTGAGGCAATTTATCGAACAGTTAGTGTGCAAGTTGCAAAACGGTGGTAACAACAACAATTTGATACTGATGCCATGGCCAATCTATGGACAAAAATATCCATTTACAAACATAGTATAATCAATCAATTCATCAAACACTTGGCGGGAAAAATACAATCAACAGAACTAAGCTATATGTAATGCTTACTATGGGTATAACTTTTGAAGAAGAAGATATGAGGCTAATTATAGAGAAACAATGTCTATGATAAAATTAAATCTATCGGATAAGAATGAAACAAACCTCCTTCAAGTTCATTGGAGGCAGTGAAAAGTGAAGGAGTTGTAGTCTTGTTCATTGTTCATCGTATTGAGGGAGAGAAGAGTTTCATGAAAGTGATTCGAGGAGGCGGCCGAGCCTGGGCAGCTGCCCTAGCTGGCCGGACGCTAGCTCCGCCAGTGCATGTAGCCTTTAACAAAATTAGCATCCTTATTCTTAGGAATCAAAATAACCACAATTTTATTAAAAGCCTTGTAAATCATGCCTTGATCAAAGAACTCCAAGATGGTTGCAATAACATCCTCCTTTAGGATGTTCCAACTAGACTTAAAGAAATTTGCACCATACCCATCAACTCATGGAGCTTTCAAATCACCAATGCCATGTAAAGCTATATCAATCTCCTTAACAATAACTCGGCTCAAAAGGTACTCCCTTTGATCCATGCAAATTTGAATGTTGTTACTCAAAGCTTCAATATCAATATGAGTCAAACTATGATTAGCTTTTCCCATAAGATTCCCATAAAAATCAATAATCTTCTGCTCAATATCTTTCTGAGAAGTAAGAATGGTACCATCTACTTTCTGGATAAACCTCATACTCTTGGCATTGTGCTTAGTCTTGAGGTATGCATGAAAGAAAGCATTGTTCCCATCACCCATTCTAAGCCAATCAATTTTAGTTCTTTAGAATATCATTTTTTCCCTCCATAACATTCCACTTAATAACCTCTTCAATCAGATTTTTTTACCTCCTCAATCTTCTGATTATCCATCCTGTTAGTAATAAGCTCACTGTGAGCCTTATTGAGATTTTGTCTAGCCAACAATAACTTCTGCTACATATCAGAAACATGGTTACTCAACTTCCTAAGCTTAGGCTTTAATCTTTTAAGCTTGTGCCACATAACAAACATATGGATACCGGTAATAGGTTGCATCCAACTACTCTTCACTACCTCATCAAACTCATTAATATCCACCAGACAATTATTGAATTTAAAAGAGTTACTTATCTTCCTAACAATACCAGGACGTGATAGATAAATTAAAGCAAGGTCAGACACATTGGGGGGAAGGATATTCATAATAATATCACTATTTTCTTGAAACTAATCTACATTAACCAACACCTTATCAATACGAGAGTAGATAGGACCCATAATCTGTTTATTAGACCAAGTAAAATAATCTCCAATACTATCCATTTCACATAAACCAGTGTTAACCATCACATTTTGTAAATCCTCAAACTCTGCCTATGTCACCAGCTTGCCACCTATTCTATCTTGAGCCTTGACCATATTATTGAAATCTCCAATAGAACACCAAGGGCCTTGTTGATTTAAATGCGAGTTCTCTATATTATTCCATAACACTCTTCTATGCTTCAACTGGTTATGAGCATAAACAACAGTTAACCAAAACTTGAATCTCCCAACCATATCATAAACACCATAATGGATATATTGGCTAGATATACTAACATGCCTAATATCAAACTTTGTGTTATCCCATTCAATCCACATCCTACCATTATAATGATAGTTGTAATTGTCAATATAACTATCTTTCATAGGAAGTTTCTCTCTAACCAGCATAACTTTATTATCTTCCACTCCAGTTTCAATCAAGATGACAATATTTGGCTTAAGCTCTAGGAGGCGGAAGCTAATCTCCCTAAGCTTACCAACCTTATTTAACCCCATAATATTCCAAGAGACTAACATATATATGGCAACTAATGGGTCATTCAAAACCCCTAGAGCCTCAAACCCATTCACACAGTGCATACCATTAGAAGATTCAGCATAAGAAATACATTTACCTCTATCTCTTGTTGCCTTAATAACCTTTGTCCAATTCTCTCCATTA